TGTATAGGCTACATGGGGTTCCTGATTGCATCATTTCAGATAGGGTGGTACAATTCACCTCCCACTTCTGGAGGGAGTTCCTGAAATTGTTAAACTCTGCCCAGGGTCTAAGCGCCGCCCCCCAAACTAATGGGCCCAACTTGCTGCCATTTGCAGAGGTTGCTTACAATAACTCAATCCATAGTAGCACTGGCTTCACCCCATTTAAGATTGCTTCTAGTCAGGATTTCGTACCCATATAAGAACTGCCCCAGGGGAAACCCCAGATCCTTTCCTTAGTAGAATGGATTGAACAACTTCAATGTATTTGGCCATCACCCATAAGGCAGTGACAGTGTCAGGGTTCTGACCAATGCCCTAATTAAATCATGAGCCTTGAGCCAAGCTTCAAAAGAAATCCAGTTACTGTATTTATTAGGAGCTTCATGTCGGCACGTTCCAAGCGATGCCAACTCTGACCTCACATAATTCACATGCCGACTCTGACCATGTTCCCCCCTCCCCCCAAGGTATCAGTCACATTCCCCAATGAAGCAATTTTGTGGTTGTAGAAGTCCCTCCCTCCAGCCACTGTGGGTCTCTGTGGAGATGGCCTTGACATAGAGATAGCTGGAATGTGCTTTTGTTTTGACTGAAGTGCAATTCCCTTGCTGCAGCTGCGAGGCATGGTTCCCCATCCCCATCCCCATCCCCATCCCCATCCCCATCCCCATCCTCATCCCCTTAGGCCTAAGCCTAAACCTAAAAGCCTAAGCCTAAGCCTAAGCCTAAACCTAAGCCTAAGCCTAAGCCTAAGCCTAAGCCTAAACCTAAGCCTAAACCTAAGCCTAAACCTAAGCCTAAACCTAAACCTAAACCTAAGCCTAAACCTAAGCCTAAGCCTAAACCTAAGCCTAAACCTAAGCCTAAACCTGCCTATGGCAACTTGAGAGCAGGTCAGGAATGCTTCACGAGTTGACATTTAGCTTCCCTCACTTCCCGAAGGCAACCTGTGCAAAGCAAAAATAGTTATGAGTACAGGTATTGATTTCAGGGATGCGACCCTCCCCCAGGTTTTGTTGGGTTGTCTTCATAGAATTTAGCTATGAGGAAGTCATCTTGGATGTTTTTGCTCTTTACCAAACATGCCTCTGATATGGGGTAGCCGTTCCACTTGATTAGGTATTGGAGCTTTCTCCTGTGCCACCTCAAGTCGAGGATTCATTGCACCTCATAATGGGTTTGGCCCTCTATAACCACTGGGTTGGGGGGCTCATGGGATAGTGACCACAGGTTTTAAGAGGCTACTTTGGAATACCGGGTGTATCTTCCTTAGCAGTCGGGGCAATTTTAATTGCACTATGACTGGGTTGATAATCTTCACTATGGGGGATGGCCCCATGAACTTGGGTCCCAGCTTCTTGGTAGGAAGTTTAAATCTCAAGTAGTTTGTGGAGAGGTAGACCTTTTCCCCCAGCTGGAACAGCCATTGTGGGGATCGGTGTTTGCTTGCCTGCTTCTTATAGGTCTGTACCACTTTAGTTAGCGCTTTCTTGACATTTTCCCATGCTGCTTTCAGCATTGACAGCCAATCTGTCAAGCTGACTGAGGAGGGGGGATCCCTAGGGTATTCTGACATTGGGACGAAGTCCATGCTACTCACTCCTTTGAACGGAGTTAGCCCCATGCTACTATGAACAGCATTATTGTATGCGACCTCAGGAAAAGGCAGGAGGTCCATCCATTTGGACTGCTGATAGTTCACGTAACACCTCAGGTACTGCTCTACCATGGCGTTCAGTCTCTCTGCCCCCTTCATTGATGCTCAGGTGAAAGGCCGAGCTAAGGCCCTGGGACAACCCAATGGACCACAGGAACTCCCTCCAGAACTTAGCCGTGAACTGGACCCCTCTGTCTGAGATGTACCTTCATGGAACTCCATGCAGGTAGTAGATGTGCTTCAGGAAAAGTTTGGCTAGCTGGTGGGCTGAGGGTAGTCCGCTGCAGGGTATGAAGTGTGCCTGCTTGAAGAACAAGTCTATCACAGTCCAGATCACCGTGTTCCCCCCACTCTTTGGCAACTCCACTATAAAGTCCATTGTGATTTCCTCCCATGGCCTCATTGGCTCTGCCACTGGTTGCAGCAGTCTGAGGGTTTTTCCTAGTCACTTTTTCATTGTGGTGCAAATGGTGCAACTTTTCACATAATTGTCCACATCTTTCTTTATGCTGCAGTTTGGTTTTGAATTTCATGGTTAGATCGCTTGTGGGTCCAGTCCTGGAACTTTCGGGACATGAACTCAGCCCCCTGGTCGCTCTGCAGCTGTGAGATCTTGGTCTTGTACTGAGTTTCCACGTAGTTGTACAGTGACTTTATGGCATCAAAGGCTTCAGACTTTTCCGTGAGGGCATACACATGGCCGTACCTCGAGAAATCATCAACGGCAGTGAGGAAATACTGCCTCTTTCCTAGAGACGGTGTAAATGGCCCAACCAAATCAACATGTATTAATTGATATGGGTATTGAGTTTTACGCAGTGATACCTTAGGTATTGGGGCAGCCTTCCTCTTTGCCCTCTTACAGATGGCACAGTCCAGAAATACATCACAATCCTGGAGATGAATCCCCTCAGCGAATTCCCCCATCTTTTTAACCACTGGGAAGCTTGCATGGCCTAACCTCTGATGTAAGAGGTGGGCACATTTAGTATGGAGCGGCTTTCCCACTGACACCCCCTTGGCTCTGGTTGCCTTGGGCGGTGCTGGCACCTTAGGCCCTTTTTTGGGCTTACCTGCCTTAGGTGCCTGCTGAGGTTCGGGTTTCTTGCCCGCATTGGCCTTGGAAGGCTGTGGTGCTGGTTGAGGCTGCGTGGGCACAACTGCCTCAGTCTTGTGCATCTTTGACAGCTTGGGAGCTGGCTGTGGAGCCTTTCTCTCTCTCTGCATGCAGGCCCCTTCTGGAGTGGCACCCTGTGAGCTGTCTCCTGTGGCTGGGTACTCGGGGGAGAAATATGGCAAACCATTTATAATGGTAACATTCCCAATGACCCTTTTGTCTCGAGTGACATGACCTCCCCCTTTGCGAAACAATACCTCCACCCTGCCATCATCACATAGCTTGGTTATGCTTAACAGGTTATTGGCTATAGAGGGAGTATGTAATACACCTTCGACATTGCCCAGCCCTGGTACAGAGACAGTGCCCTCCCCAACAACCAAAGCATTGTTACCATTTGCAACCTTAACGGAGGAGTTAATTCTCCTTAACCTCTTAAAGCCTTGCCTCAAGTTAGCAATGTGAGACGAAGCCCCAGAGTCCAGTAACCAGAGGCCAGTAGGGCCATCAGCCTTTGTGGCGGGGGTGAGGTAACTAGTATACACAGAATTGCCCTTAGCACCACCTTTGCCCCAGCCAGGCCCCCTTCTCTGCCCCCTGCCCCTTCCTTCATTGGAGCCACATTTAGGTCCTTGCTGATAATGGGGGCAGTCCTTCTTCAGATGCTCCTCAGAACTACAGATGAAACACTTGGGTAGAGCGTTAACCTGCTCTGAACTCTGGTGCCTTCTGTTGATGCGATGAGTTGTGGCCCTGGTGCACTCTCCCGCATCTCTACGCCTCCTGTCTTCCTCATTGAGACTCCCTGTGAGGTAGGACAGAGTCATGGCTTCCTTTCTGGTTCCCTCTAGTGAGACAATAAAATTGCCCCAACTTTTGTTCAGGGATGCCAGAATGACAGCGATCATGTTGGCCTCAGTCACGGGGTAGTCCCTGAGCACCAGCTCTGCCCTGAGTGCCTTCAACTTTCCTAGGTACTCAGCCATGCTAGCCCCAAATTTTAGCTTGGTGTTGTGAGTCTTGTGGTGGAGCCCAAACTATCACTATTAAATAAGCTATATAACAACCCCCAAATTTCACCAGCTGTGAGCCCATCTGGAATGCTAGGGTACAATTTAGCATCCAGTGAGCTCAGTAGAATGGTATAGGCTCTCCTGTGGTACCATTCTTCTTGAGGCCCCCAAGGGAAAGGTGGAGGGTCTAAAACCATTTCTAGGGTCCCCTCTTTTAAGAGACATACCTGAATCTCTTTGTTCCATATATTATAATTTTCCCCTCCCAGATGTAGCTTCTGAACTGTGACAAAATGGGGTTGAGGGGTACCCCGGACCGTGAACCAGCTCATGAGTAAACACACTGAGACTGAAATGATTCTGACAGAGGCGTCTTGTGTAAAAATATAATTTACTTTAAAACATTTAAAAAGCACTATGTCTTTAAGAAAACACATTAAAAACAAAGTCTTATCTGGGTATGTGAAACAAGGCTATCTCCCTAGATCCCTCTCCACAATACCAAAGCAGTTCACAAAAGAATAAAGCTAGCATGAAGGTAAGCAGCTTCGGCGTCGATACATCATCAAGGCCATCATGGTGGGAGCAGCACGAGCTTCACAGCTGAAAGTCACCTGAAGTAAAAACAGTTCAAAAAGCAAACATTGCTTGAAGCTTGTGGGAGGAAGAAGGTCCAGCAATAGCAGTCCCGATGATAGCTTGCGTGCTACAAAACAGCAAAAGGCAAGCATCCGTGGGAGTCTCTCTGTAGCGGCGTCTGGAATCCTTATCTGCATTCTTCTCCCATCTGCGGCGTTGCAACAAGCTTCCTGCAGGAGCTGTGCATTTAGGCCTAGATCAGACTAGGCCCAAGGAGCAAGCAAAAGGTCCTTGCTTATATAGGGAGTCAACCTGCAATTAACTAGGGCGGGGAAGGCTTGCAGGTAATTGCCAACAGCAGATGGCTTGATTAAAACCATACTGTTTGTGAGTAGGCAGATAGCCACAGCAATCCTGGAAACACTCGTGACATGAACGTTATTTGGGAGAACAGACACAGCTGGGGCAGAAAATGCTGATATATTCTGCTGTCCTTGGTATCTCTGCTTTGGTTCCATTGAAGTAAATGGAAGAGGGATCCCTCTGCTGGCTGGTGTAGGTATTTTTCTCTGATTATTCTTTTCTTTTTCAGGTGGAGCCAACTGAGCATGTGCAAACTGCTGAGCATGCTCAGAACTCATTCCAGCCCAGGAGCCAACGGGGGTGGACCTCTCCCTTTGTGCTTCAGGGCCAGGCCTGGGCCCAGGCCTGTGGAGCTCTGAAGAGTCTTCTAGAAGCCCCCCTGGTACTGGAACACTTACCAGGAGGCGAAGGCTGCAGAATGGGGCCAGAAAAGTCCGAAAATGCTGAGAATCGCCTGGAGGGGCCGACCGCTGGCCCTGAAGACTCCGGAGGAGGCATCCATCTTGGGAGGTGAGAGGCTCAGCTGGAGGCCCCCTGAAGTCATCCAGGTGAGTCCTCCATTGCCTCAGTGAGGGTGTTGGGAAGGCTGGAGCCCCAGGGGTTCTTCTGGGGCTCTCTGGAGGCCTGGGCCCTGGCTGGGGGGCTCCGGACTGGACACCCCCCCTCGTTGGTCCCCTGGGGGTGTTGAGGGAGGCTGGCTGCCCCCGAGGCTGAGGCCACAGTCATTGTGGCCTCCAGGGCTGCGACCGGGACTTGGATTGCAGCCCTGATGCCTGCTGCAGCAGGAGCAGCTGGGCAGACTTCGAGGCTTGCCTGTGGGGAGGGGGGTGAGCAGTTTGCATGCTGCTTTGGCTGGCTGCCATCAGTTGCTGGCCTCATGGCCTAGCTGAGGCCTACCAAGCCTTGCTGGAGTAGATGGCCTGGGGGCCGCCATGTTGCTTCCAGTTGGCCCTGGAAGCTGCAGGTCGCAATTTGGTGGGAACTTTCCCACCAAAAGCTCCAGGGCCCCGGGGTCCCCCAGGGTGGCCAGTGCCATGTTGGGGAGCTTCCTGGGTGCTGGGGAAGGACTTACCCGGTGTCCAGAGGCCCCCTGCGCTGGTGTCCCACATGGCTGGGCTCCTGGCGTCCCCCGGGCTGCTAGGAGCATTCGTAGCAGTTCTCTGCATTCCTCACCAGTGAGCTGGTCCACGCTGGGGGTGGCCTGGTCCCTGGCCGCATCCCCAGTGTTCTGGAAGTCCTGGGTGGACTGCTGGCCTTCCATGCCTTCCTCTGTATCTTGCAGCTGCAAGGAAGCATGCGAAGGGGTCCCTTGTGTTCCGCTGGGTCCTCTGGGGGCATAGAGATCATCTGTACCCTCTTCTGGATCGAAGCTCGCATCAGGGACTGGATGCAGGACTGCCAACCTTGTTTGGAGACTCCTGGTCATGACCGGGGAAGTCCTGCCATCCATCTCTTGCGGGTTCTTGCTGGAACCTCCTGGCATCTTGCTTCTGCTGGCTTGGAAACGTTGCCTCAAACCATCCTCTGCTACCACTTTGTTAGGGATCTCACGAAGAATGATGGTTTGTTGAGGGCGCTTCCAAGAAAAGGTCAGCATGCAAGGATGTAATCAAATTAAGTCTTTATTTAGAAGTAAAAGTGGAGTAAAATAAGTTCCCAGGCATGGAGGCATCCATGCCTGGATTGAGCCCATGGGTCAGTCCCATGGGAGACTAGAACAAGAACAGGGAAAAAGGGAAAAGGAAAAAGGCAAAAGGCAAAAAAGGGGGGAGCACCCCCTGTTCTTATAGGGGCCCCTGGCCCCTCTCTTACAAGGTGTGTGAGGGGGCCGGAGGGCCATTAACTCTCCCCAATGGGGCTGCAGGGGCTGGAGCCTCTTGACCCACCAGTGGGATCAAAGGTGCCTCTTTGCCCCCATCTGGTGGCCTTTGAAGAGACTGCCATGGCTGGCACAAAACACCTAACAGGTTGAATGGCAGCTGGATCTCCAGCATGGGCTTTTCCTTTGATGCATGCTTGCTATTGGCTTCAATAGTAATGGGAAGGGGGGGTGCATGGCATTTGGGTTTTGTCAGTGTATAAAGAATTTATGAACTGGAACAGCCATGGCAACAAGCCAGCCAATGGGAACTGTTTTTTGACTGAGACACAGGACTTGCTGTGAGAGCCATGTGAGCCGGCTTTAGTCTGGGTGTGGCTTAGCTATTCTGTGTTCAGAGTTCATTCTTCTCTCTATCACATTGCAAGAGATGCATTGGTATTGTTTGTATCATGTTTTTGTATTTTGTAGATAAAGAGGTTTTTCTATATTATGAATCCTGCTCAATTCTTTGAATATGTGCTGGGTGATTCTCAAATAAACCAACAAGTTATGGGCCCAGATCCCAGCCAGCCAGCCTATGCACACAGTCAAACTGAAGAAAAAGGATTGAGGCTCAACACGGAACTGTAATCAAGCTGAGAGACTGCTTGTGTTATAAACAAAAGGAAAACCAGGCAGAGAAGGTTTACAGGATGGCTGTTGATTTCAAAGAAAGCTATATTTGGGCTTATTTGGGCTGCAAAATGGAATGCTTCCTGAAGGCTAAGGAGCTCTGGGATATCATCATTAATCCACCCCAGGGGCCATTAGCAGCTGCAGATTAAGGCAGGATGATAAAACACTGGTTTACATCATTTTAAGTTTGGAAGATGAATAATTCTTAAATGCAGCTGATTTAAAAAATGCAAAGGTGGTTTGACTGAAATTGAGAAGTGTGCATGTGAGTGCTTCAGAATGCAATATTGTGCTATTATTGAGACAATTCTACAGAGCCTGGCTGCTGCCACAAGAGAATGTAGAAAAGAATCTGCTGCACATGCAGACACTGTTTGTTGAATTAGAACAGCATGGAATGCTAATTCCTGAATCTCAGAAAGCCTGTTGGTATTAAATAGTCTTGAAGAAAATGGGACATCATTTCAGCCATTTTTGAAAATAAACCAGAAATTACGTAAGCCCTTAAAGCCTATTTGATTTCTGAAGAATAAAAACATCATTTTAGAAGAAACCACGAGGAGAAATTCCTGAGGTGGGGGTCCAAGGAGCAGAGAAAGCAAAGAAACAGACTGGATGTCTGCTGAGAACAGAGCAACAGAAGAGATTGGATTACATCCCAGCAAGAATTCCCAAGAAGAAAGAACAGGAAAAATGGAGATGTTTTATCTGTGGGGATAAAACTCATTTAAAGAAAGACTGTTTACAAGGAAGAAAACAAACAAATAGACATGCTGCTGTTGCAAAACTTAGCTATTGTAATAGCAGAGACAAATGGTTAATAGATCAAACAATTGTTAATAATTCTAAATTGTTTTACAGATTGGATCCAGCTGGAGGAGATGCAGTAGCCTTAGCAAATGGCCAGAAGGCTAAAGTTATAGGAAAAGGCAATGTGTTGATTCCATGTCTGGAGGAAAAGTTTAATAATATATTGTTGCAATATTTTCAGGATCAGACTCAATAATATTAGTAAGAGTTAAAGGTTTAAATATATTTCCTTTTATTTACAATAGGCATTCTATATTCACTGAATATTCACAGATAGAAGCGAGGAAAAGGGTGTAGGTGGCTCCTTATATATACAATGGGTGGAGCTATAAGTGGGAGTGGTGAATTATGAATACATTAAGAAGTGAAGAATAAGTTAACCCCTGATACCCCGTTCATATATTATTTACACATTAGAGAATAAGGCATTTACATCTGACAAATCCCCCTCTAAATGCCGATTCGTTATACAACACCAATTACACTCAGATTCAGGACAATACAATACATACAATTTAGAAGTTAAATATTTGTGTTGCTTAGAAGGTAAAGGCTTTGTCAATATGTCAGCTAATTGTTCTGAGGTATCACAATGCACTGCTTTAATAAATCCATCCTGAGATAATTGTCTCACATGTTTAAATTTTATATCTATATGTCTGGACCTTTGTCCAATGGCATCAGATCTAGATATTTCAATGGCTGCTTTATTATCTTCATGCATAACAAAAGGCAAAACAGGTTTTTTCCAAACATCTGAAATTAAATCATTAAACCATACAAGGTTATTTGCAGCTTTGGATAAACAAACATATTCCGCTTCTGTCGTTGAAGTGGCCACTAGTTCTTGTTTACCAGTGTACCAGTAAACTGGACAGTCATTTAAGAGAAATATATAACCAGATGTACTTTTTCTACATGAGGTGTCTCCAGCCCAATCTGCATCTGCATAACATGTAAGCTTTGGTTCTTTATTGTCTTTAGGTTCTAATATTAAGCAAAAGTCTAGTGTACTTTTCAGATATCTTAAAATTCTTTTAACAGCTTCCCAGTGATACATTGTTGGTTTGCTGACATGTCTGGATAATAGATTGAGTGGTAAGGCGATATCTGGTCTAGTCCAATTAGATATATAAAGAAGTGAACCTATGATTGATCTATAAAACGTGTTATCCTTGAATTCGGGGGAAGATTCATCAGTGTTTCTTAGAAAATCAGTTTGCATAGGAGTATCACAAGGTTTGGCATTGTTTAAATTGCATTTATTTAAAAGTTCTACAATCTTATCTCTCTGAGTAAGTTTGAATCCCCTTCTAGTCTTATTAATTTGGACACCAAGATATTTGTTTACTTTACCTAGAGATTTTAACGAGAAATGTTCATTTAGTTTGGTTACAAAGGTTTCTCTTCTCTCTTTATGTTTTCCTATGTATAAAATGTCATCCACATAAATCAATACAAATTCAATGTAATCATCATCCTTTTTGACAAAAAAGCAGTTATCAGCAGTAGTAGCGTTGAAGTCCATGGTTCTAAGTACTTTCACTAAACAATCATACCATCGTTTACCAGATTGTTTTAACCCGTATAAACTCTTGTTTAACAACCAAATTTCATTTTTGTTTGTGTATTGACTGTGAGGTGCTCTTACGTATATTTCTTTATCTAGTTTAGTGTGTAGATACGCAGTCTGTATGTCGTATTGAAATACATCAAGGTTGAGTGCTGATGCTACCACTAGAGCTGTTTTGACACTCTCTGTTCTTACTGTGGGGGAATACGTGTCAGTATAGTCCTCCAGATATTTCTGTGCATAACCTTGTGCAACTAGTCTAGCTTTGTATAGGGTATTGCCTCCCTCTAAGTTCTTAATTTTATATATCCACCTGGTACCAATAATTGTTTTATCCTTAGGTGCAATTGCAGGTGTAAATACATTTAATCCTTGTAAACTTTCCATCTCTTTTTTCATCGCTAATTCCCATTTTTCCTTTTCTTCACGAGGGAGTTTTAACACTTCCTCATATGTATTGGGTGTTGTTGGCTCACCATCCATATGCATTATGTAATCTTTGTATTTATTTGGCATTTGATTTCTGGTGTTTCTAATGGTTTTTTCAGGTTTACTATCGTTATCATGCAAATATCTTGCTTCCTTTTTTGTTAATGTGTCTGTCTTAATTTTGTGTTGGCTATTTGTCCAAATTTTGGTTTTGTTCTTATTTTTGTTGATATTTTGCT